ACATGGGACTTTGCTGCCCACAAAGAAATTTTCAATATCACATGAGTAAAGAAATATTCTCCTTCTCTTCAAATGCATGACTTTTCTGTTTGAAAAAAAGCAGTTGAATGTTTTAAAAACTTTGCAAAATATGTTACAGCCTGCAGTCTTGCTTACAATTTGCCTTTCATATCTTTTTTCTACCGTTCAAAAAACTAAAAATTTGCAGTTAACGGGGAATCTAATGAATCATTCCCATTCCAATTTTGAGGGAGACTGTGAAGATTGTGTCCATTTAAAAGTGTTCATCCTGCCTGAGCCAGAGACTATGATACTCTCTGATGCAGTTGCTGAGAACATAACTCCTGGGTGTTCACACCAGAGGTGTCCTGTCTTGGGGGAGGTAGAAGCTGGGTGAGGAGCAAAAACTTGCTTAGTCCTAGGGCCATGATTCAAGTGATCATCATAAATAAAGTCTATCTGAAACGTCATAATAACTAGCTAATAAAGAGCTGAACCCCCAGATTATGATCTAGTGTTATTTCTCAGGTTCATCTTTTATTAGTCAGTTAAGTATTTTTAAAACTTTTGTTAGAATATCCTGTAGCAATACCTTTAATATTGCTTATCCCCATTGAATGGCAAGTAAGAAGAGCAAACTGATGTATAAGTGCCACCAAGCCAGAGAGAAGACTGACGCCTGATTTTCCAGTGACTAAACTTAGGTAGAACTTCCCATTAGGATGTTGAAATCAGAGGATAACCTCTGAGGATAAACCAGTTTCTACAATTTCCTAGACTTGGTTTGCAAAAGGCCTGCATCTTAAGTGCAACAAGGAATTTTTGACTCACACAGAGATCTGTTACATGTGCTTCTGTACACAGGAGATGTACAGGCAAAGGAATTCATCATGAAACATGACATGTACTTTTCTCAGGAAAAACGAATAACTGAAGACCCCCCCAAAAGACTTCTATGCTTTTGTAGTCCATTTGAACTGGTATTAAAAAAAATACAATCAGAGGTGGTGGCATATCTCGGTGGTAGAGCACTTGTCTAGCATATATGAGGACCTGGGTTTTATCCTCAGCCTGATTAAAAAAAAAAAAGAAGGAAAGAAAATAAAAATATAGTAGTCAGTCTTGTATATCAGTTGATTCCAAGTCAATGAATTCAACTAATGAGGATTTATAATATTTGGGAAAAAATATTTATCCTGAACATGTATGGAATTTTTCCATGTCACCAGTCCCTAATCAATGTAGTACAACAGCTGTTTACTAAGCATTCTGGTTCATAGCTGGCAATTTTTCAGTGTCTCACATGGTGGAAATAGTAGGGAGCTCTCTCAGGCCTCTGGATGAGTGCACTAATCCCATTCCTCAGGGCTCTGCCCTTGTGATCTAATCACCCACAAAGGCCCTGCTTCTGAAAGCACAAGCATTCAGACCATGGCACATACCAACAGCAGTTTCTGATTGAGAGCCTAGGAAAGCTCTCTCCAAACACATATCCTCAGGCGCTTACCTGTATGGGATAATACCTGAGATGTTTACAAATGGATTTATTTTGCAGCCCAACATTAAATTCTGCAACAAGCTGTGAAGGCTTCTTTCAGAAACAACAGCAGACAGAGATTGAAGGGGCTTCCTGCTCCCTCTTCCAGCCAGGCTCTGAGCAGGCTGAGTCCCTGCTTTGGTCTCTGAAGGAGGGTCACAGACACCAAGACACCCAGGGGCTTCATTAAATAGAACACTGGGCTGAGATCGGGAAAATTCAGTTCTACTTTTAATTCTGTCCCCTACCAGCTATTTCACTATAGCAAAGAAAGTTAAGCAATTGAGTCTTAGTTTTCTCTTTTGTAAAAGGGAAATGAGGGTTTGGTAGGAAGGAAACAGACAGGTATAGAGTGTCTACAGTATAAAAACTTTACAAAGACTATGAGTAATAACTACAAAAGAGTTGAATTTGCCTGATATTGCAGATGAGAAAATGGAGGTCCTTAGATACAATAACTTGACTGAATCGATGTGTGCTGGAAAAAAAAATAGAAACAGAATTCCTAGTACAGGAGCTATAAACAGGACGGGGCTCTCTCCATCTGGAACACCGAAGAATCCAAGAATTCCAAATTTGGAGTTAGCTTCCAGAACACTGTGAAGGTATTTTGTTAAGGCAAACAGATGTCAAAGAATTAACAGTTTGTAAGAATGACCTAAAGATATGGACAAGAGTTTGAGCCTTGAGCCCCTCAGATGCTAGGAATAGTTCTGAATGTTCAAATGTATTTTTGTTGGAGGGAATTGTAATTATTCAGTACAGATGCATAACACTCCCACACGCCTTACACTCTTGCAGGTTTGTAATGCCTCCAATCTCTTTCTCATATGTGACTTCACTTGATCCTCCTAATCGTTACACGCTATAGACAGGAAGAAGTTATTGCCCATGTTTTGCAGAGAGGAGTTCGTAGTTGATGCCCGTGGGTCCCTTATCACTCCCCACACCCCATTTCTGATTTCAGCAGCAGTTGGGATGTGAACAGTTTTGTGAGATCTCAGACTCACCTCCAACAGCCCTTGTCCACCCTCAAGCACCTGCTGGCCTATGTCACGCCTCCTTGTATCCCAGGATCCTGTTCGGTGATTCACATCCCAACATGGCCTACAAGTATGGAAAGGCTGTACCTCCTGGTGTAACCCTCAAACAACAGAAGCCAGTGGGCAAATGTTGCTTGTCTTTTTATGGCAAATCTGAGAGGAATTCTCCAGAGAGACGGCAGTGCAATGAAGACCCATTGAAGGCCTCACGACCTGGAACAATGACTTTAGTAACAAGCCCTTATCTGTCCTCTTTTGCTGTCTCTTTCTCCCCATTCTATCATTTTTGATTCCAAATTAACTATTTGCAACTACATTCTTGCCTCACCCTTTCTTCTGAGGGCACCACAAACAAAGAGGCTTTGAGGTTCAGGAGGGAAAGTGACTTCCCCAGGGCCATGTATCTGGAGAGTGGAGGATCATAACACTCTCTCCCAGTTCTTCTGTTTTTGAAGCCAAAGACTCCTTGATCTACTCTCCAGGTGTACAAGCAAGGTTAGGTAACTGCCATTTCTACCTTGTATCAATATACCAGACATAGAGCAAGTTTTAAAATAGATGTTTGAGTGCAAAATTAATACTAAGTGATAATTATCATCTTTATTGGGGTTACTCAGATGAACTGCCAGGCTATGATTAAAACACTTAGCATTTTTCTAAATTTTAATGGATTACAATTTGTTCTGTTGGTGTTGTCTAATTTACTTGTGTAACTAAATTATAAATGTTAGGTTTTGCTCCAAGTTTTATAGATGAAAAACTTTCAATGTTGCATATTTAACTAGTATTGGAAACCAGATTAGAATCTTCCCTGTTCTAGGCATATTCTTGGCTTTGCTTGCCAAATTAGATCAAAAGCAGAATTGTGGATTGTCCTCAAAGAACAGTCCTGGTTTGGGCTTTGCAATGGGCATCTTTCTTTCTTTCCTTCCTTCCTGACTTTCTTTCTTTTACTAATTCCTAGTGTTATTTGCCCCAATTCCAGAAACTGCACCACAATTTCCTTTGAGGATTCAACCCTCTTGAATACTCAATCAATAAACTTTAGGTTTATGCCATATTTACAGTAAAATCAGTGTTTGGTCAATCTGTGGATTCTTCCCATCCTGACCACAGTGAATGGAATGGGACCTAAGGCTGACCGATTAGAATGAATGTCAGGATTTTGCTGGTGCATGGATAAATAGCCACTTTCTTTTCAGTAGTGAACTAAACTAGTTTTGTGTGTCTGACGGCTTTCTTGCCACCTATTGGAAAAGCCTGCCTGAAAACAAATCAATAAAGCAGAGAGATGGACACAGACTGGTGAGGTGACCCAACTCTAGAGTCCCCTGATTTTATATCTGCCACTGGACTTTATAGTCAGGAGGAGACAGTACATTACTGTTCCATCTTCTCCTTTCAAGTTTCTGCCACTTAAAATTCATCAAGTCCTGTCTGAAACAAGCTCCATATTCAAGCATTCAAGAGACTTGGTATAGCACTTCTCTGAAAAAAAGAAAACACAATGTCTGTTTTCCACTACCAAGAAATGGGCTAGGAGGTCAAGAAAAGGAAGCATAGCTAATCAGATCATGGAAGGATCCTTCCTCCCAGCTTCAGAGAGCCTTAGGAATGAGTTGCTGCACCAGTCTCTTTATGAATCCATAAAGTAGCAGGCCTCCTGTGAGCTCCATCATCTTTAATGCAAAGAATGCAAACTCCACACACGTTGTTTTCAGACCCATTGATCAGCCACTGCTTCAATTCAAAATCAAACTGCAACCAGAGTTCAGAGGAAAGACCCTAGACTGTTAATTCTTCCTTCCTTTCTCCCTTTCTCTCTTCCTTCCACACAATTACATAGCTGCACTGAGAATGTTTTTACACCTAAAGAACTTTTAATTCTAACTTTTAATCACTCATCTTCCCTCTAACAAGCTGAATAAAAATCACTGCAGAAGTAGACTATAGGGAAAAAAAAAAAGCTGAAATCAAACCAAGAAACTTGCCCCACGGCAATATGGGTGCAGAGGAAACCATGCATTGTATTTGTTTCTGAAGAGCTTTCCCCCTCCCCTGAGAAAAGTCATCATCAAATATTTACTTCAAATATGTTTCAAAACCAGAAGGGCAAGTTTCAAGCTTGAAATGCAGGCAGGCTAGTTGGTAATGGTGCCCCGAGAGTTTTCAGAGCTCAGAACCGTGTCTGACTGAGGAAGGGAAATAGAGAAGAGATGGGTGAGTGGGGACAGGTTTACCAGATGACCCACCACCAGAGCGGTGTGGACATAGGCACCAGTCAGAATGTAAGTATGGCCTTCCAAGCCTGTGTGCTCTCACAATGTCCATGTAGCGAAGAATTACAGATGACCACCCTGCCTGGTACCCTTACATCACTCTCAGAACAGCTGAGGTCTAGAAATACCACACAAACTTACCTGATGAATTCCACGGAATAGTACTGAATAGGGGAGCGTCCTTCACTCTGTCCAGGTTTCCAAGATAGGGCCACCTCCGAATCAGAAACCACAAGGGCACGTGGCTGCTGGGGTGCCGCTGGAGGCCGGCAGGAATCTAGGCAGGACAACAAACATGTGGCTGATTGTATCAGCTCAAGAGAGGTTGGATACATTAAAAAAAATGTGCTTCCCAGGACCAAAACATCTCTGGTCACAACAACCTCAAAATCCAAAACAAACACACACTGATAAATCACAACTGTGCTCAGCACATAAGGTCTGAGTCATGAGAGCTGGTCTTCCTTTCTCTTCCCAGCACATCTGGATAGAAAGCTGACCATATTAGGTTCTGCTGACCCTAGGACATGTGTGGTATGTACTTCCACCTCCTGGTGGCCTTTTGTCTCTGTTTGCATGTTGGAGTTGATATTTATCTTCAGGAAAACTCAATGCTCACCATTACTGCAAATTACTTTCTAATTCACGTGTTGCGTGTGTGTGTGTGTGTGTGTGTGTGTGTTTCCTCTGCTGATAAGAAGATACAAAGCAATGGAAGGGCATTTGGGAAATGCCTTCCTCTTGTGTAAAGGTGATCCTCCCATCCAGGTCATGGTGGGTTCCAGCTTTTCATACCTCTCATGTATTGCCTGGGTCCAGAAGAGTTTTCCCACCTTCCTACGTAAGCACTTCTGTAACTCTGGCTGGGGAAGCATGGGTGTCACCTGCTTACCATTTTCTTCTCTCTACCAAGAGCACCTTATGAGCAGTGACTGCCATCAACCTGCTTTTGTACCCCAGCATCCACCTTAGTGCCACCTTAGTGACCATTGTTTGGATTCTCTTTGCCTATACATAAATCTCTCTCACTCCCCTTCCTCTCCTCCTTTTTTCCTATCAGCCCATCAGTTCTCCATTTAGCCATCGTCTTTTCAGGGATCCCTCCCCTCATCCCTGGTTTTTCTCACAGCCTGTGAGGACACACTCATTAGATAGCATCTTGACTCACCCCACTGAGTTCTAAGAGGTCTGTGCTGGTGTTGGAGGCACTGCTGAATTCCCAGAGCCCATCAGAGTGCCTGGCACACAGTGTGTCCCTACTAGATTTGCTGAATGAAGGCACGAATGACTAGCAGCCCACCACTTTCCTGTTATGAATGAATTTGAACCTGCTTTACCTTGGGACAACGTGGTAATGTGCTGAGGGGGGCTGAGCCGCCCTTTGCCAGTCTGGCTGTAAGCTGCTACGCTCACTCGATATTCAGTTCCTGGTTTCAAATCTCCAATCACTTCTTCCTGTCAATAATCAAACGAGAAAGGTGCCAAAGGTCAGAATTCCTTTTGGGCAAACCCTATAGTTTCCATAAGGTTTACATCTTGAGGTTCCTGTGAAAATGTTTAGAACTTTGCTTTGTCTAGAATTGGCCTAGTTTTAGAATTTGCTAAAAGGAAAACACCATAACATTCCCAAGACTGAAGGGTCACCTTTATGGAATCTATACACTGTACTAATACCAGGGCTCATTGACATCATCAAATGTTGCTGTCAATATTCGAACTCTTTGATCAGACTAGAGGCTGCTGGAATGATCTTTCCCAGAGTTGGATTCCCCCAGTTCTTTCTTTTCATTTTCAGATTGCAGATGCTTAGGGTTCAGTCTCATAGCAGGTGATGCTGCTGCTGTGTGTCCAGGGACCCTCCATTGAGAAACATTGGTATTAAGGATGGATGGATGTGTGAACTTATCCTGTGTCCCCAAGCCTATAGTGCTAAAGAGTAGGTGGGAGCCTGGGCCTCCTCAGTGAGAAGTAGCAGCACACTATAGTGGAAAAAGAGCCAGCCTGGAGTCAACCAACCTGCCCTTGAACCCTGATTCACCCACTTATTACTAGCTGTGGCCTTGCAATCAAATCCCATGAGCTTCAGCTTCTTCCTCTGTAAAACAGATATGACATACAACCAACTATCTTACATGGTCATCATGAAACAATGTATGTCCAGGAGCTGGTAAGGAGAATGGACTCAAGAAACAGCTAACAATGACTATTGTCTTAGGTGTGTGGAGACCAGGCTCCTCTCTGTTCACCTGGGTTGCTCATCTACTCTGAGACTCAAGCCCTCCCCTTGACATCTTCCCTGACCATCCACCACCCAGGCCTGGAGATCCCACCATATTAAATGCTCTGCCACTAATTTATTATATATATATATATAAAATATATAATGTATATATATATATATACACA